GAGCTTCGAGATGCTTTGTGTCGTAGTGAATGCGATCTTCTCCTACGACGCTCATCGTCACTGCTGTCTCTGCGGTGATGAACCACTTGAACCCTCTTCGGAGACCTGGATCGGCTGTGCTGCTTCTTCTTTGTGGCCGCTCCAAGGGCGACTCCTGCAAGACCTGCACCAATGGCAGTGCCAATCAGGCCTGTCTTGCCGCGTCCTGAGTTGGAGCTTGAAGTTGAGCTTGATCGAGAACGGCGCGAACGAGACTGGCGGCGAAAAACCTTGTGATCCTTACGGTCCTTTTTGTCGCTCGTAACGCCTACAGACATGACGGAAATGCGGTCGGCAGAATTGCTCCGGTGGCGGATACCAGAGCTACCATAGCTGTAACTCTTGCGATCCCCTGATCTGCTGCGGCTGTGTCGTGAGACCCTCGACCGACCGGACTTGATGCTGTATGTGTCGTCGAAATCGTCGCGACCCGCGCTGAAGACAGCCTTTCCAGCCTTAGCAAGGCCAATACCGCCCAGGCCTGCAGCTACCCAGCCCGCGGCGCTGCTCTTGTTCTTGCGGCGCTCCTCACCCGAGGAGATGGAGCCCCAAGACTTCTTCTCCTTGAGCGAGTATCGCGATTGCTTCTCAATGCCACCAGTGGGTCGCATAAACTCATTGGATCGCCGTTTGTAGTAGTGGTGCTTCCGTGGGGCGTCCAGAACGGAGGAGCGAGGGTCAAAGCAACCCTTGCAAACTCCAATGTACTCGGTGTACTCTTCCATCTTCTGCACGTCTTCGTAGTCTTTCCACCAGTCGACAAACTTGGAAACAGGCCCAGTGTGCTGATGCTGGTGAGCCATGCCGCCTGAGATGTATGGACTGGGTGTAAGGCCATTGTGATGATGTCCGTTCGGACCGTGCGTCGACGGGTGATGGTGTGTGCTATGGGAGTGTGTGTGGGTGTTGGAGTGGGTATGTGAATGTGAATTATGTTGGTTTAAGCCATAAGCCGCCAGTCCTGCGGCGCCAGCAGCGTACAGTCCAGCCATGCTACCAGACGAGTGCTTCTCTGGCTTGGCTGGCCGAGGTGGCTTTGGAGGAGGCGCGCCTTCCACGCCGTAGGCGGCGGCTGCAGCATATGGTGGGAGGTAGCTGCCATCGTTGGCAGCGGTATTAGAAGCATTAGATCCCGGGCCGTACATGTTGTACGTGGAAGCCGGAGCAGCCGGGGGGGTATTATTAGTATAAGAAGAGTATGATGTAGAAGGGCGAACATGCGATGAGCTGTAGCTCGTGGTGTGCTCGTGATTAGAGGAGCTGTGGCCCATGGCATATCCAAGAGCAGCTCCGCCGGCCGCAGTAGCAGCTGGGCCGAAGGTGCTGGACTTGTTGGGTCTCGATGAAGATGCGGGTCGCGGTGGCTTCTGGGGCGTCGGGGCGTCGTCGATGAAGGCACCGGGCATGGACGAGCTCGATGGTCGTGGAGGTCTGGATGAAGAGCCATTTGTGTTAGGCCCGTAGAAGTCTGCAGCGGCGCCCGATCCGGTGTCGGCAACGGGATTGGGCTGCGCGGAGGCAGACATGAGATGGGGGGTATCCTGTCCTATGATGACAGAGGGCGGCTGAGGCCTCACGCCAGGCTGTTGGTGCACAGACTGGCCCTGGTCGTTGTAGAAGTCGGCAGCCGCTCCGAATGGTTGGCCGCCAGGGAGCGCGCTCGAGGTGTATTGCAGAGGGTCCTGGCCGGGGAACTGGCTCTGCACGTGATCGTCGATGTAGTCGGGGTGTGGTGGGTGGCTTCCTACTGGCAGAGCGCCCGACATCATGGGCGCTCCTGCCTGTCCTGGGAACTGCGAGAAGCCGTCGCTGCCAATCTGGCCGCTGAAGCTGCGCTGGACCGACTTGGGACTGTCAACAATCTCGCCCCTGTAGCCGGCGCCAGTTTGCGACGTGCTGCCGGATCGCACTGAGCGCGTCGAGCGGCGCTTCTCGAGCTTCTTGTCCTTGGCCTTGCCCGTCTTGCGGTCCTTGTCGTCGCGCAGTGTCGAGCTGGACGACTCGGCGTAGCTGCTACGGCGATCGTCGCGACGCCTGTTGTCGTCGTCGTAGGGATCGCTGGTGTTGTTTGTTGTGGCCCGTGAGCGCGGCATCTCGTCGAAGGCAGTCGTGAAGGAGGCAATCGAGGACGCGGAAGGCGCAGTGTCACGTTTAGATGAGGCCGATGTCGATGGCTTGCGCGTCGTCGAGGATGACACGACGGAGCGGGCGTCTGGGTCGCGCTTGGAACGCGTGGAGTCGCTAGTACGGCGGCGGCGACTTTCCTCGTCCTTGTTACTGTTGGAGGCAGCAGAGCTACCGGTCAATCTGCTCCACATGATGGCGGAGGACTGCAGTCAGGATCGCGGGGGCGCAGATGCGTTGTTATTACAAAGTGGTGCTGGCAATGGGTCGGGCGCAAATGAGATGAGTCTCTTGGTGGGATATGCTGGGTATATCGCTGCAGACAGTCGCAAGTGAGAGAGAATCGTTCAAATCGTCATGTCGTGATGATATAGTACAGGTTTCCGATGCAGAATGGCTAGGAAAGTATGCGCGCAATGCCCAAGGACAACCAAAGCAGCCTCTCGCGGTACTAATCGCAAAGATTGGTGTGGTGCAGAGCAGCTGAAGTGCTCGGCTTGGGACGTAAGCCCCAGCAACCGAGTGAGTTGGCGGCAAGGGTTAGCTCGATCCACACGGGATGGAGGCGAGGCTGGGCCAATAGCTGCCCGATGGCAAACGCTTCTTCTGCGGATCTTTACCGGGGCTTCTTCCGGGGCTGTTCTCGCTGTCATCGAGAACATGTTGATCAAAGTGAACTGTGCAGCCTGGCGCGCGCAAATCTAGTCTTGTGGTTCTAGTAGTTCGTTGCAGTTCTTGCTGCGTGTTGCGAGCTCCTGCCACGACCTCCATCGGACACAGTCAAGGCACGCGGAGATTTCCGAGGCCATCAGTGTAGTTATCTTGCATGTTCAATGTTGGTTAGGCCGCCGAAATCTTTAAACCCGATCGTTGATAGTCAAACATCACCCAGTCGCATCGACAAGGATTACAACAAAAACAAGGCGCGCGTGTGACATGGAGTCCGTTTTTGCATTAATCAGGCTTGTGCGACCTGTGTACATCTATTCGCGACTGTGCTATGCAGCCCTTCTGAGGAGCCACTCATTACACTCCACATGTTCCTTCGATGTTCTGCGCGTCCAATCCATCATCACCTGCATAGCCTGAGTCGTTCGAGTCGAATCCGGAGTCTGATGATCTATCCAAATCATGACTCACTATTTTCCAAGTCTCGCTTTCTTCTGGGAGAGTCTTCATGCTGTACAAACCATAGGTGAACATCGCTTCTTTCAAGCACTGTGCCCTTGAGCAGCGATCGGGATATTCCATGATTTCCAGTAAGCTCCGTGCGATGAGATCAGGTTGTGTTGTGCTCTGTCCTACGTCGCGTAGTATGCACCAAAGGACCTCCGCACCCCGCTCGTGGAACAAGCGGTCTTTCATAGCAAGACCAAGGCAAATTTCCCGCTTCTTATAAAGCTGCTGGAAGTCTCGGCGTGACTAGGGCCGCCCGCCAGCCATCAACATCTGCCGTATTTGCAGGATTTGCGCGCGGTGCTCTGGTGCCAACTGGTCAATCTGCTGCTGCGACAGCGCCATGACTTGCGCATAGAGCGCCTGCTGGTCCATTCCAGGCGCTTGTGGTTGTTGTTGCTGTGGAGGCTGCGCGTACGGCTGTGCGACGGGAGCCTGAGGTTGGGGAGGTGTAGGCGCAACTTGTGGTGGGTATCCGGGGTAGTTCACAGGCGGTCGCGCAACTTGCGGTGGTGGCTGCTGTACTTGCTGAACAGGTGGAGCCTGCGCAACTGGGGCAGGCGCGGCCGATGTCTCCACAAGCGAGGTCAGGATTTGTGGGTCGACCAGCTGGAGGAGCAGTAGCGACTGAAAGATGGCATACGCCAGCTGAGGCGCTTGTCGCAGCAGCTCTGTCGCCTTGGCGGGATCCGTCATAACAAGGCCTTTCATCTGTGAGAGGATATCGAGGAGCTGGTCGGGAGGAAGCGTGGAGAGGGTGCGCGAGATGGCATCGGGGCAGGTGAGATTGGGCGGCAGCTCGACGCCTGGTGGAAGAGGGCCCAGCGCGCTCGTCGCTTGCGCCGGTGCTGGTGCTGCGGGTTGTTGGCCGTTCATGGCTGGTTGTGTGGCCTGGTCGCGATTGGAAGGCGCGTTGTCGCCGGAGCCGCTCTCGTTAGACCAGTCGACCCTCAGCTTCCTACCCATCAAGTCGTAGTCGTTGAGGTTGCGCACGGCTGAGGCTGCGGCGTCAGCGTCGGCGAACTCTGCGAAGCCAAAGCCCTTGGGGCGCCCTGTTTCCTTGTCGTACACCAAGCGAAAGTTGAGGACCTGTCCGACGCGCCCGAGGGTTTCGATGATGAGCTCTTCAGTGCCGCCTGGGTTTGTTAGCTCTGTTTAGAAATACAGTGGTGTGAATGACGCAGATTTAGAAGATCTGGTTTCAATGTAGGCTCCAAGGTGAGCAGTCGCATACCGTAGGGAATGTTGCCGATGAAAACAACTCTGCCCGCTTTGTCGTTGGGCGCCATCGCGGTGCAGTCTCGATATTGATGAAGGGATTGTTGCAAGGTACACGGTGAAAGAGGGTCGGTATATCGCGGGAGATCGAGTGAGTGTTTCTTTGAGGTCGAGGCTTCCACGAGGCATGAGCTTTGGACCGTGACTAGCGCGACTTTGGGCTTGGCGCGTCGTACCAGCTGAGCAGGCACACGACCAACTCTTCCCTTCCAAGGTTAGACATGGTTCGTCCACAATTTGAATGCATCTTACTATACTCACATTCTTTTCCGTGCTCGTAGCTTTGCATCGATATCAATCTTGGCTTTGGACGATCACATTGTGTCTCACAACCAATTTTAGCAATGTTTCGTCATGATGTTTAATTGGTGAAAACTACAACTCTACAACTTCGCCGCCGACGGCGCACAACACGTACCGTCCTCACCAATCGTCGCAGTAACACTAGGCTGCTGGTGCTGCTCGCTCAACAAGCTGCTCTTGTTAAACGCCTGCTCACTCGGCGGTACATCAAGTGCAGGGTTCTTATCGAAGAAGTTGACCGGCTTCATGTGGATCTTGATGATCTCGCAAGGCATGACAGGGAAATCCTCAATACGAGGCACGTGGTTGATTCCCGCTTGGATGTAGACGACAAAGTCGGTGTCCTTGACGTTGTCGTTCCTCTCTGCCCAACTCCGCACTCCCGTTCCACCGCGACTCTGGTTGGTGTAGGTACCGCCTGCGTATAGTTCGCCGTCCCTGTGCTTGACGACGTAGATGTTGTGGTCGGAGAACTCGGCGCGCTTGTAGTTGAAAGAATCCTTGTCGGACAGGATCTTTTGGAACGGCGGCGCTTGGATCTTGTACGCGACAGGCTTTCCGTTAACGGGGTTTCGCACGTTCGGGTTCTGGATCTTGAAGGTGCGGTTGTTCTCGTATGCGATGTCGTAGCCACCCGACTTGTCCACAACCGTCTCTTGGACGTAGTAACCAGTGCCGTGTGGGTTGAAGTCTGAGCGCGGCATTGGGAATGCCTCGTCGTACACGAGTCTGTTGTCATATCCGTCAATCATGGGGTCAACGCGCAATGAGAAAATGTGTTGGTGATGGACGGCAAGTACACCAGGGTGCACGACTGTACCGAAGGGTACCTCGACACCTTCATCGATTGGCTGCGTGCTCAGGATACCGGTAGCCCTGATCTCGTAATCGACCTCTCCAGCTTGGTTGAAGATGAAGGCCAGGATGTACTCGTAGTTGGCTACGGTGATGATGCTCTGGAGCACCAACTCCCGGTTTCGAGCGACAACTGCGCGGCCGGTGCGGTAGTTGGTGTGCTTGAAACCGATTCCAGCATCTTGCTCGTGGACGCATACAACGTTGGGCATCTCCACAGACCCACCGTGGTTGTCGGCGAGTACGGCCGAGAGATAGTAGATGGAGCCCAGACAGTCGCAGCCCAGCTTGAGGTTGTTCGCCATGATACCAGCACCAACATCACCCAAGTCGAAGGCGCTCTTCTTGTGGTAGGGATGACGAGGGTCCGCGTACGGAATGTTCATGTCTGAAAGGCTCATCCGGTAGAACAAGCTGCGGTTGTCGTAACGGACATCGTACAGTACCATACCTTCACGCTGGTTGAAACCAACGCGGAAGTTCCATTTCTGCCATGAGATGACATTTGATGTGCCTTGCTGTTCGACTTGGAAGCTAGCACCTTCCGGTTGGATAACATTAAGCGGCTTGAGATCGGTCCGTAATTGTTGGGCCTCGGGTATATACTCGTTGGGCGGTTGTATCTTGTATTTCTCAACTGGCTTGATGGTGTTGTCTGCACCAGTCGGTAGTATATCAACGCGAATGACCTCCATCTTCTCCGTGCTCACAACAGGTGAGATGGGAAGTGGCATCGCGTAGTGGTTGGAGTCGGCTTCTGATGAATTCATCGGGTCCCTGAGGTAGAGGAAGCATTGCCACAGCCTATCTTCGTCTCCAACGCCATCGGAGCCGTAGATCCATGGGTCGCTGATTACTACTGTGCCTTCAGGAAGCTCGAGCTTGGCAATCTCCGCTTGTACCTTCTCATCGGTCAGGACGAGCTTCTCGATAGCGACAATCTCGTCGCCGTCCGCGTTCGCATGGACAAAGGGCCCAAGAAGGACGTTGCGGTCTACGCGACGTGAGGTCAAGTCCACGACAGCCTCATGGAATTTGCTCTACCCAATGGTCAGCCGCAAGTCTTTCTTCCGAATTCACGCACATACAGTGTTGCGGATGTAATAATTGACAAAAGCTTTTCTCGCGATTGATGGAAGTGGCTTGCCGCTATGCTCAGCCTCCAGATATTTCAGTGCCTCGACTTTTGTTGGTTCCTGCAGCGTCACGACCTTGAAGTGCAGGTCTGTGTGCGCTGGCCATGAAGCTTTGATGATCGCCGCAGCATCTTGAAGTTCTGATGCCGATAGCGGGGAGAATGGATGAGCAGATACCGATTTCTCGCTCCGCGGACTAGGATCAGTGGCGACTTCTGCAGACATTTTCTCGCAACGAACAATCACTGAGTTGATAAAAAGTTGAAAGATGGACAGTAGAAGAAGTTGACTGTGGAGGGATGGATTATAACGCTCGAACTACCGACGCTGCTGCCCTAACACAGCATTCGATGTGATAAGACTGTGGATCTGGCGTATCTTCGTACAGTTTTCGCATGGACTTTCCAGGTCAGTACTAGGCGTATGTCGATGGCGACGCGACGTGCAACGGGATCACGTGTCGTACCCCGCTTCCCGAGGTCCCAGGCTCCCAGCCTTCCAACTTTGGAAGCAGGAAGGTTGCCCCCATGCTCCCACTCAACGTGGCAAGCTTCCAGCGAATACTCTCCAGCTGTGCAATTCGGGCCTTGTGCGACTTTACTTGGTCCGATAACAACATTCCAGGCAAGTATGTTGAATGAAGCTCTACCAAGGCATCTAGCGCTGTCGCGGAAGCCAGGTAAACCTAGGAATAACAGGCGCGTACCGTCCAAGAAATTCGAAGCTGATGCATTACCTTGATTGATACATAGGGGTACAAATTCTATCCCAGGGCTTTTGACAAAGACTGTACGGCGCAGCGAGATTTCGAATCTGGTTTGGGCGACAGAGTGATGTTCGCAGGGGGCTGGGCCTCACCAAACGCGTCTGCTGGACTGCTCCAGTGACACGCCCTCACCTGCGATTTCTTCAGCAATACAACCATCACATTGCTCGAGATCAAGCTAATTCTTGTAACAAAAGAAGCAGACTAGATATAGTGAACATCGGAACTCACTTCGGGAATACTCATGTCCACGGTGCCAGCCTGGCTCAGGAAGAGCGGGCCTTACTCCAGATCCACAGCGCAAGCGAGCAACCCTTTGATTTCCAGAGAAGGTTGCTTTTGTTCAAGTTTGCGACAAGAGATGGGAAATTGACCAGCCACCCGCCGCATCGATCACTCGATCGACCTTGAAGAAACGACTGAGCCTGCATATGCAGGACATTGCACAAAAAACCTTTCAGCAAGATTAATATACAAGTTCTCAGGTGCCTGTTTCAAGCGATAGAGGTTGTGGCAATCATCACCTCGTTTGTCGTTCGGCATCCGGTTGCATCGATTGCATGACTCGGCATGAAACATGTACGCCGTTGCGAGTCGTTCGCACAAACAACAACACCTCAGACGTTCAGACAAGACTCATATTTTGCCGTAGTACACCGGTGTACATGTGCGACAACCAGTTTGGGTGGACATTGTGGATCGGTGTTGTTTCCTTTTTCTTCGCATCGCCTCAAGTTCCGCCCTAGCTTGGACCATAGTGATTAAAAACATATTACCCCAGATATTAATCTATCCTAGGCGTCCAGTGTTGTACAGTTCCAGCAAATGCGCCAGCCTCTAGCTCCGACGGATAGAACCCACAGTCGTCGGCACATGCGCTTCTCCTATTCGCCCGGTACGCACATTTCGTGCATGCATGACCAATGGCCTGCAGTCCTGCATGTCAAGCCCCCATACTCGCGATATTACCTGCCATACCCTCACTTGTTCGCCTCGTCGAAGGCTGTCACAAGGTCGTTCCAGAAGGAAAATTCTACGAACAACCACCGGCAATGAGTATCCACACTCCACCTCACGTCCCGGGTTCTTTGCCGCCTTGCAGTACCCATCGTGCCTGTCCTGTGACGTTTCTTCATTTCGAGTTTCATGCTTGGACCAATCATGGCTTGACGTTTACCCTCTCTGGTCATGTCCTGCGTGCTGCAATATAGAGTGGTATCCATTCGAGGCGTTGTATCTGTGAGGAAGAACATATATAAGAACCGGGGACTTTGCTCTCGTATTCTCTACCAAGATCAACAGCACCTCCAAGTTCATTCGCTATCCTCATCAGTCTCTCACTTACCAATCTCACATCATGAAGTGCATTGCTATCGCCACAGCCGTTGCGGCCTTTGCCAACGTTGCCTCGGGTCACTGTATGACACTTCACCACTCATTCTGCACCAGCATATACTAACACGTACAAGACATCTTCCAACAGCTCACCGCCAACGGTGTGAAGGGTGCCAACTTCCAGAACATCAGGCCCGTTCCCAACAACAGCCCCGTCACCGACCTTGCGGACAAGAACCTGCGATGCAACGCTGGCGGTAACTCCGGCAGCGGCACCACCACCGTCTCGGTCGCTGCTGGCTCGACCGTCTCCTTCACCGCCGACCAGGCTGTCTACCACCAAGGTCCCGTCACCTTCTACATGACCAAGGTCGACTCTGCCGCCGCCGCCGATGGCTCCACCGACTGGTTCAAGATCAAGGAGATTGGACCCACCTTCTCCGGAGGCCAGGCCAAGTGGGACATGAGTGGTAAGTCACAAACTCCAATCTCGCACTGGAATGTATCTAACACTTTCTTAGCTACCTACTCCACCACCATCCCCTCCCAGATCCCCGCTGGAGAGTACCTCCTCCGCATCGAGCAGCTCGGCATCCACAACCCCGGCAGCCCGCCCCAGTTCTACATATCCTGCGCTCAGATCAAGGTCACTGGAGGAGGCAGCGGAAAGCCCTCTCCCACTACCAAGATCCCCGGCCATGTCAAGAGCACCGACTCCGGCTACACCGCGAACATCTACGCCAACTTCAACTCCTACACTGTTCCCGGTCCCAAGGTCGCCACCTACTAGACGTAGGTAGATCTGGATATGCGATGGAATGGGCGCTAGGATCGTCTTCTCGCAATCACACTGAAGCTTGATGTGCTTCATTCTACTTCTATGTATATACCTATAACATGAACTCTGCACATATTATTGCAATTCCCCGATCTTGTTTGCCCTTTGCTACTGTGTATGTTTATCATATGCCACTCTCACAAAAACATCGAGGCCTGGGTTTCTGGACAACATGCACTTTCCCATTGCAGATATTACGAATTTCCGCCGTAAACTATATAACCCACTTTCTCCACCACGAGAGATTTTGTTCCACCGAAACCAAAATCTCCGCCTTGTCATGGTCAACATCCGCAATCTCCGACAGATCAACATCTTGCAAAGCAATGATGCCTGACCTCGCGTAGCAGAACCCAGCAACCCACAGGAAGATGAAGATGGCTATATCGACGTAATACGTGAGGAAGGTGCCCACGCTCCAACGACCTGGGAAGAAGACGCTGTAGCCTGAGAACAAGATGACAAGGACGAGCGCGCCGCCGGTGGCCCAGGCGAGGTATGGCTGTAAGGGGCTCTTGTATGCGAGACCTGGTAGTATCAGCATCATCTTCGGCAGAAAGAGAGGGGGTGAACTCACGATCTCGACTGATGCCTTGGACTTTCAATGCGTAGAAGAACCTCAGGTAAGTAATCTCAATGACAAGCCACCCAATCAGTCCAGCAATAGTTGTAATGTTGACGAACCATCCGAACACGACCGATGAGTTGCTCCCCAGACTAAGATAGACAAGTGGCATAAAGATGAGCGAAGCTCCGATCGCCAAGTATGGTGTTCCGAACCGGTTTGTGCGAAGCAAGACGCGGGGAGCCTGTCCGTCTTCTGCTAGCCCGTACAGGGTACGTGATGCAAGGAAGACGCATGCAGAGCCACAGCTGAAGGCCGAAGTGCATACGATTGCGTTGATGATTGAGGGCAGAACATTGATACCAGCGCGCTGGAATGCAATGACGAAAGGACTCTGCTGAGCATCACCAGTAGAGATGCCAAGATTTGGGTCGTTGAACGGAACAAGCATGCCAACGATGAAGATGCTGACAACATAGAAGATAAGTACTCTCCAGAACGTCATCCGAATAGCGTTTGGGATGATGACTCTTGGATTCCTTGTCTCGGCGCCAGCGATGGCGACCACTTGAATGTTTGCGTAGCTGTAGGCTGCGGAGATCAAGGAGCTCCAGAAACCGAGAAACTTGCCAGTGTTGCCAGGGACGATATACTCGTTGAAAGGACCGGGGTTCTTCCAGTACCGAAAGCCGATTCGGTCTCCACTGGGGGACCCTCCAAGGTCGACCACTAACCCGGCGATGATGAGACCTATGATAAGGAGGATCTTGAGAGCCGCGAAGAAGACTTCACTCTTTTGATTGTCAGATGTTGAGTTGAAAATCAGGTTGCATCAGGACTTACCTCGCCGTAAACCTTCACACCGCAGAAGTTGATAACCACAATGATCACGATGAAAACCGAGTACCAGATGGCAGGATTGATGCTGTTATCCCAGAAGTTGATCAAAGTTGCCGCAGCTGCGAGCTCAGCTGGCGCCGTAATTGCCATGGTGTACCAAAAGTTCCATCCGGTTGCGATGCCGAGTGCAGGTTGCACGAACTTCGTAGCATGGCGAACAAATCCTCCAGTGACAGGCATGAATGCCGACATCTCTCCTGCAGATAGTGCGACACCGCAAGCAATTAGTCCCATGCACAGATATCCGAAGAGAGCGCCGACTGGTCCTGCGGTAGCGATGGCTTGGCCGGATGCTAAGAAAAGTCCGGTGCCCTAAAGTTGGTGCATGAGTATGGCGATTACAAGAATGCTTTGAAGTGGTTTGACATACGACCATGCCAGCTATGGCAATCATGTTGATATGGCGACGCCCAAGATCGCGTTTGACCTCATAAGTCGTACCGACGGCTCCATGTTCGACGTCTGAATTTGACGCAGAGGTTTGCGCAACTTGCGTAGCATCCTTCTTTGATAGATCCATGATGATGCTCTCTCAGCATGGGAGCGCGCAACGGTTCCTACAAGTACCAAGCCGAAGCGGGAAGCTTATCTCACTTAGCAGTTCGGCATCCACGGGGGATTCAGTGACTCCGTAACCATTGATAGCGGGGTTCTAGTTTCTGATAGGGGCTGGTCAGGGCGCCCGAAAACCGGCGATCGTGCTGGGGTGTCATGAAATGCCGGCTGCTATCTGTCATGCTTAGAACGCCGGTGGCCCCACCCTTCTCCAAACGCGGAGTCAATAGAATCCAAGAAGAGACGGGATGAGCTTGCAAAACATCAGCAACGCAACTTTCCAAAGGCAACAGAATGTCATCGGCCAAGGACGACTCTTTTCAATTGTACGACTTGCGGGTTGAGGTGGTTTGTCCGCCAGGCGAGCGCATCTTGTGTGGAGCCAAGGAAGGAGACTACTTTACTGTTCAAGGAGAGATGCTACGTCTTCCCGAAGGACAGGGCATAAGCTTCTACAGCTTAGGTGAGTTTCAAGCACAAACACTGTACACTTCAAGAACTGATGAGATTGGCATTTCAGCGGCAGTGCTGCCTCTGCTAGCGGCCAAGCAACGACCAACTCACGCGCATGATTGGATGTCCACGGATGCATTGATCGCATGTCCGGATCCGAATTGTAAATCTCAGCTCAAGATCATACGAACCGGGTTGCGGACCTTCAGTCACGCAGATACCACGGTGGTTGGTCTGGAAGGAAACTCCTGAGCTTTGGACTGAGATATACGCATGTGATATCCGTTTCCCGTGCTTCAGCCGGCGTATCGACTATCACGAGATGGTCTTAGGAGCCTTGGCGGGGATGTATGTGTAGGTATAAGGGCCTCGAGCGCACACCGAGCATATGTTGGTAGACGTGTTGTTGCGCTCAACACAGTCGCGATTCCGATATATCCAGCTTTTGAAGCGTCGCGGCGTCACTAGAGGCTGCGAACAGCTCTCCAGATAGTCTCAATGAATGTCACCAGTATGATCACCGTACCCATCATCGTCTCCATCGTTATGCTAAGAGCTGGTGAACCAGCCCACCATGCCCTCAAATCGCGCGACGATGTCTGTATCTCGCGGCATATCCAGGACATGGAAGTGACACGCGTGTAGTAGCTCGGTAGCCTGGGTCGTAAAAATTGGGAGCGACGGTGCGGCGATGGACGCTGAGGCGATGGCAGAGACAGGCGCGTGGTGCGGGCATGATGCGCGTGTTTGGCGGTGACGTCAGCCGTGGCAGCCGAGGTAGGAGCTCATGAGTAAATGCCAGTTGCGGATATTTTGAAACTCGCAAGTCGTCCGTATAGGAGAGGAATGGGTCGGCATGAGCATGAAAGGCGGTCGCGTGGACAGGGAGAGATCGTACAGAGCTGGCACAGGAAGATGAGGCGAGCGCACGGGCGGGCTGGAATGACGCGACGCGCCCGTGATCATTACCAACCCATATTGCTCACGAAGGTTTACTAGCTACCTAGGTATTTTGGAACCTACTCGAAAACCATTTAATGTACAAGCCATAAGCCAAGAATTCTCTTCTACCTGTATTCACTCCCGCAATCGCCCATGACCTTGAACAGTTCCTCCCTCCTGCTCTTCTCCAGCACATTTTCAATACTCCGCTGATCTTCTTCGTCAAGCTTCCATCCATACGTCTTCAGATTCTCCTCCGTATGCTCACTAACACCCATGCGCGCGCCGATGATGACTGCCCCCACGTATGGGAAGTCGAGAACCCATCTCGTAGCGACGTTCGAGATCGAGACATTGTGCTTAGTCGCGATAGCCTTCAAAGTCTGCAGTAATGTCTGGAACAGATCCCAATCACCCCATGTCTGGATCATCTCGAAGTACTTCCGCTGCGATGGTGTCGTGTCAGGACCAAACAGCTGTGGTTCAGGTTCACCGAGCCATTTCTCAGCCAGAAAGCCTCCACAAAGAGTTCCATATGTAAGGAGTTTGACATTGTGTCGCGTGCAGATCTCGCCCATCCCAAACCGTGGGCGTGCATCAATAAGGGAAAATTGGACCTGATTGGTGACGACGCCGATGTTATTGTCAATGACTTCTTGGAGACGCGCTGTGTCGAAGTTGCAAAGGCCTAGATGTCGAACTCGTTCGTCTTGCTGCAACAGTCGCAGCGCTTCGATATACTGATGGTCATTGTAATCTTGCCAATGGAATTGCAGAAGATCGACCTTGCTGGCGCTCATGCGCTGGCACCGCTCTGTGACGTTGGCGCCGATGACTTCGGGGGTTACGGTAATCTTGTGGAATACACAGTACTTCGTGGCACCGAAAACGGCCTCAGGTTCAGCTAGCGAGGCTCTCAGGCGTCCGAATATAACCTCGGCATCGCCGTAATGGTCAGCCATGTCGAAGGCAGTGAAGCCACCTGCGATGTACTCTGCAAATTGCTTGAACATTTGTGTTTGTGACGCAGTACCCCATGATGGACTAGACAGTTGCCACAGGCCTGCGAACAGCTTCGGCAGCTCGATACCCTTGACTTTGAAAGTCTCGATAGAGGTCGATGTCTTCCGTCCGGTAATTTGACTTTGGCAAGAGCTATTCTGATGGACCAGTGTCGGTATACCGCTTTCGCGGCCAAGCATAGTCGCAAGAACTGCAGTGCTTCGTTCGAAAGGAAAGTCTTGCGCAGATGCAAGCCATCTTTGGTGACATCGCAGCAATGAAGTGAAGAGCGAGTCCATCACCAGTCTCTCCTCTTCGTTGAGGTCTCTGCTGCCACCATTTGACAATAAGCGCTTTTGAATCGCAGTCAATGCCTGCACAATATCGCCGTCAACGGAGGCTAAACTGTGGTTGAGTTCTGTCGACCGAGTCACGGTGTGTTCATCGGCAAGGCTGACGGATTCGTCTACAATCTTATTGAGTATTGGGAAGCTGTCGAGAACCAATCCGCATCCTATGGCGCAGCGTAGGCGCT